CCATCCTTTCCACATTCGCCTTCTTAGCAAGTTTAGTGAGGCTCAACCCAGCCATATCTTCTGGATACGCGCCGGGAAGATCCTCCAGACCGTGAAAAATATCGTCAAGTGAACGGTCTTCTCGACCCGAAATGGACGGAGGATCAGCCGAACTGAGGCCGATTTCTTCAAATGCTAATTTCAAAGCCTCGTTAACCTCAGTTTCGGATTCTAATTTATTGGCCTCAGCTACTTCCGGTCGTTCCAAATCTGATCCCTCGCAACCGACTTGTCTCAAAATTTTGAAATTAGTTAAGATAAAGGCAGTAAGAAACTCCTCACCCTTAGGAATTGGTATATTTTCCGCCGCCGAAAAAGTCATATAAGTCGGCTCGTAGCAGAGCAGAACGTGGACAGCCCTCCCCTGCTTCTGAAGACTCCGTCGGTGGAAATACTTGAGTGCAGTCTTGATTTCCGAAAGAACGGCGTCGTCAGTCGAGGTCAAGATTTTCTTCAAATCGTTTCCTGTAAAAGCAAAACCATAAGGTCCCGAAAATGAAGTTTTATAAATATAACAAATAAATAAAGGCAGATATTTGGCCACCTGGTTCTCCCCTCCATCTAGGAATACGATCAAGGCGCTCCTCGCAAAATGCCGAATTCCCAGTTTCCTTGGACGATGACCATAACATCATCGACTAGCTACCCAGAGCTGGAAAGCATAGTCACCAGTTGATGGTCGGTGTCTTTGGCCCTAAGGAAATAACGCCCGTGCCGACCAGAAGACTTGGCCAAGGCGTAGCAATGTCGAATAGCGAGAATGCCAAGGTTAAGCCCAAGGCGGCGATTTAGAGCGATAATCCCCATCACGATTCTAAAGAAGTTGATGTTGGGTTGGGAAGGGATTAACCCCCAATGGCAAAGCACGGCCCTAAGGAGTGGGTGAAGGGGGAAACGGATCCCACCCTCTGCGATTGATAGAAGAGGGAAGACGATCGTGGTTTCATCAGCCCTCTCCATATCGAGGGTGCCGTCTGCCACAAATGACAGACAAACGTCGTCAGGAATGGAAAAATGGCGTCGGAAGCCGGAAATTCGATTCGGTGAGAGGAGATCTTTTAAATGTTTCGCCATTCTCCCCAGTCAATAAGGTTATGCTAAGCCAAAAAATAAAGCAAGGAAACAGATTCAAAGCAAAAAAGGAGAGAACTTACAAGAGGCGAAAGAGATGGAGAAGAGTAGGAAGTTGCAGAGGTAGCTCGGAAGGCAGTCCAGCGACGGGCGTCTAAAAGCGTGTATGCATTTGAAAAGACGTCAAAATTTTAAATCATAATAAATAGAAGTGTACGAAGAGGCAGGAAGTTGAAATGATAATCGAGAAGCATGTGCACAGACATTTGCGTTGGAATGCGGTCAACCGCCAAATTTTGGCTCTGGCTCTTTGAAGTTCGATGCCAAACACTCCAGCCAACTGTCATTAGTGGAGCGTTTGGGGGGCAATTATGGGGGTCGAGTATTGAGAGTCGCAGTGATTCCGGATAGTTTAATCAGGGAGTCACGATTCAAAGCATTCGGCAATCGGCTCGAAAACTCGAATCCAACCCTACTCGGCCAAATAGCCGATTAATCAAGGGCCGAGTGAAGATCGGTCAATTATAAAATATGCTGAATAAGAGGTTGGAAATGGATCTAATCCCGAGGCCCAAAGCGGAAAGGATATAAATGGAGAAGACATCAGCCAGAAAGGGGTATGTGAAAATTATTGTGCTTAACTTAGAATAGAAGCAATTTTGAGTGTGAGACTAACTTACCCGTCGGAGTGCTAATTCCGGCACTCCCAACCGGAGCGTTTATTCCTTTTTAGGTGACTATCAACGGACCTCAAGCGCTTCCCAGGATCAGAAGAGTATTTCCAAACCTCTTCTCCACAGTTATAATCCATGACTCAGAAAATAGGAGGAATCAGTAGGAAAATGGTTTAGATGAAGAAATGGTACAAAACCGGTAGACAGAAGGTGGACAACTTTCACTATTTTGGGCATATCTATTTGTATACTAATAATTTGAGAGTGAGGCTACCACCATTGGAAACTAGACTTCCGGGGCTTGAATTTAGGCTCAAGAATCACTCAAAATGGAATCCGGATGCTAGAGATATTCTTATTTGAAGCTGGCTGAAACAGAGCTGTCCTCCACATACGGGAAACAAGGCCGCACGTGCGGGACCACGTGTTTTTTTTAGTAGAATCAACTTTGGTGTTGGAAATGGACTGCCGCACGTGCGGCTCTGGGCAAAAAACTGTTGTCCGAAAATGTTGTTTGCTCTAACACTTGTTCTTTCCATTTCTAAGCTTGGTTTCAACTCTATTCACTAAAAAACATGTAAAATTACCTCACAACATGACAAACTAACATCATTCAAGTGTAATTTCATCTCAAATAAATCAATCTTTGCATCAAGTTAGAAATCCAAGTCTTATCTTTTCCAGATATTCAAACTTTCATAATATATGCCCAAAATCATGCAAATATATCTTACACATGGTTGATTCTCACACCAAATCTTGTTATTCCATGAATCATTCTTAAGATTGAACCCAAATCAAACAAATTAAAGGAAATCAAGGTTCAATTCCTTGAATTCAACCCATTTCATTCATAACTCAAAACACTAGTTCATTTACATATTAATATTCCAAGTCAATCCTTGATTTCGTGTAGTAGATGAATTATCTACAAAGATAATAGTTAAAGCCACATACCTTAACTCAATTCCTTGCTTTTCCCCTTAATCTCTTCAACTTTCCCAAGCTTCATGGTTGATCTTCTTCCTCTCTCTTCAATTCTCTTCAATCATCTTCAAAGCCATCATGAATGTTGAGCTTCTCTTAGAGAATTTTGTCTCTCTTTCTCTCTCTCTCTCTCTTTCACGGTTCTCTCTCTCTCTCTCTCTCTCTCTCTCTCTTCCTTAGATATTTTTGGCTCAAATATGTTGATTTCACTCATATATATATATATATATAAGCTAATCACAAATAGGGATAGCCAAACGCACCTTTACAAATCGTACAAAATCGAATTTCAATTAAACTTCCCAGATGACTCTAAAAATTATGCTGATCATAAATATGTACTCTGTTCTGGTTTCTGAAGCCTCTAAGGCCTTCAATTTATAGTGCAAAATTAATCAGCCAAACACACCTTAACGAATCAGACGAAATAAGTTTTCAATTAATTTTCCCAAATAGCTCTAAAAATTCCCATTAACATATACAAGTACTCAATTTTGATTTTTGAACCCTTAAAGGTCGGCAATTTAAATTTTAAAGTTGTAACTTAACAGATAATGCTTCAATTCAAAAGATATAATCACATTAAAGCACATTAACCCATAGGTAAATAAAGATAATTCCTTATACGCAATTTGGGGTCGTTACACCTTGAACCCCAAGTAACGGTTGTTTTGGACTAAGATATGCTTTGCAGGAAAGATCTAGTTTCATCATTGTTGAACAAATTCTTCTGTCAAAAACTTTTTAGAAATTAATTTTTCATATACTAACAGTTCAAGCATGGAAATATGTTTCCCAATTGTGGTTACTTTATTATTTTGAAAATATTGTGTTAGTTTGAATGCAAAGTGTAGGTATGGAAGTTCTGAGCATTATGTTCTATTGGAGGGAAAACATTTTGTGAAATTATGAGGAAGGTGTGTCGTACAACACCAAACCACAGGGGTTGTATAATGTGCATAGGGAGATAACATTGGCCGAGTTGGAGGCTATGATGGTGCCGAACATTGGTATGTACGGGGAAATAATACGATTAAAGTTTAAATGTAGACTCCCATGTCAGGGGAAGTATAGGCTGCTGCCAATCAACGATAATGAGACCTTAACTAATGTGTTAGAGCTCACACAGAAATTAGGTTCAGACTTTTTTGTTAGAAATCTATGTGGAAAAAGAGAGCAGTTTTAGTGTCACACAGATGCCAATTCCAGTGGGAGGAACATTCACGCAGATGTTGACACAATCATAATCCCCTGACAATACAGTTATACAGTCTGCACATATGTTCCCTCAAGATTACCCGTCATTCAATTATTCTCAGGGTTACATGGAATTTAATGTATCAGAGAACCTAGATGCTTATTACAGTGCCGGAGCAGGTCCAAGTGCTCTGACAATGTATAATCCGATGGTTCACACAACGGAGACGGCTGCCCAAATTTATGCATTGTCCGATGATATAGTGCCATTTGATGATGAGGCTAGAGTAAGTGATGAAGATTCCGTGGAAGATTTCGATGGCGTAAGAGAAGGTGAAGACATTGACTCTGGTGATGACAAAGTTGAAGGGCATGATGATATGCAAGACGTACACCCACATATCCATATCCCTTTCTACTATAATGGGAATTTCGACAACGTGGGTTCCGCCACCAGCCGCGATGTTGTCGAACGTTGGCCATTGTCGGACTCCGAAAATGCTCATTAGGAGACAAGAATGATATTTACTGATAAGAAAAGCTTAGTGCACCCTGTTCAGTTGTTTAACCTGAAGCGTAATCAAGAATGCAAGGTCGTAGAATCCAAAGGAAACAGTTGGGTGGTCGAGTGCAAGCACGACTGCAATTGGAGGGTTCGGGCAACGAAGTTGAAAGACAAAGATTTCTTTCAAATTAGAAGGTTTGAAGCGCCGCATCAGTGTGTGTATGCAAGAATGAATAGGGGCAATAGCAACCTTAAGTCTGAACTCATTGCTTATTTCATCAAGGTACATAGTGCAGTAAGTAACATTTTAGATTATTTTTGAAAGATTTAATTATGAGTTTAATATATGTAAATATAATTTCTATTTGCAGATATTGCCAGAATTGCCTATTGCAACCATAATTGAGGTCGTGAAGGAGAAGTTTCAATTCACGATATCATATAAGAAAGTGTGGCTTGCAAGGGCGAAAGCTATTGCAATGGTGTTTGGGGATTGGGACGAGTCGTACTAACGGTTGCCTAGATATATGGCTGCATTGCAGGCATTCAATCTAGGCACAGTTGTCATGTGGGACATGATTTCGAATTTGCACTCTACCTCAATCGGAACTGAAATGTACATGAACTATGTGTTATGGGCATTTAAACCTACAATAGAAGGCTTCAAGTACTGTCGTTTAGTGATATGCATTGACGGCACACACTTGTACAGGAAATACGAAAGCAAGATTGTTGCGGCCACTGCAGTGATTGCTGCTGACAAGGTTATACCTCTTGCCTTTGTCGTTGTTGACAAGGAGATGATTGAGAGTTGGGGTTGGTTCATTACTCTACTTAGGCGATATGTGTGCCATGACCGAGAGGGGGTGACATTGATATCCGATTGACACACGGATTTGCTTAGTGTCATGTCCAGAATTTGGGACAATCCAGCAGTGCAACCAAGAGGGTACCATAGGTATTGCTTGCGACACATATATAGCAATTTCAATGAAAGATTCGACAATACAGTAGCCAAGAATCTTGTGTGGAGAGCTGGTTCTGCATGACAAGTACGGAAGTTTAACAAGATTATGGAGGATATCTACAAGCTCAAGAAGAAAGCTGAACGATGGTTTAGTTGGATGAACCCTATTCATTGGACATTGTGCCATGATGCTGGTCGTCATTGAGGCATATTGACGACAAACCATGTAAAGGGCTTCAATGGTGTACTGAAAGGTGTACATAGTGTCCTAATTACAACATCAGTTGAGATAACTTTTTATTGGCTCCTCAAATATTTTGACGAGGGCAGGACCATTGCTGAAAATGCGAGTAATCGAGGTCACTTGTATACAACTAATGTTCAAAGATGGATTGACAAGCACCAAGATAAAGCGAATGTCCATATCTTGGTACCGATTAATAGGTATTTTTGATTGGATGCACCGAATTCACTACACATTAACATTTCGCACTCATCGATCATTGATGTTAGTCTATATTTAAACATATATGCATATTAATCCATGTACATACATTTTATCTGCAGGGGTGTAGACACCCCATTTTTGACTGACCTCAAGACTTTGACGTCATCGTTTGTGCACTCGATGATTATGCATGTTTATACTTGTTTTGAGCGCCCGAAGGTCTCGGCTGAGCGCCTTGTCTTTGAGCCTTTAAACCATCCTTGTTTTGTGCTTGTTTTTGGACCAGACCTTGATGCCTCTGACTTGGAGGGAGGAGAAGCATTACTGGCCACTTTTGGCACTCAACAGCCACTTGTTCTTCTCACCGGCCACTTGAAGTGGTCGGCCGGCTAGGGGAGGTGGCCAGCTGGCCACCTGAAGTGGCCGACGGCCATTTTTCTCATTTTTCAGATATTTTCTTAGCCAGCTGTGCCAACTGTTGTTCATTGAATGCATCCTCCATACATGGAGGGATGGATGCAAGCCTTTGGCTTGTATTCCTATATAAGGGGAGGTCTCTCCCCCATTTTGAGGGTTACAAAAATTTTGTGAGCAAAATTTCTGCTTCTCTCTCTGGAATTCTCTCTCTCTTCCTATTTTCTGCCTAAAAGGGGGAAATCTCTACATATTTGCATACAACCCCTTAACCAAATTAGACTACCTTGTAGTTGAGATTCTTGGAGGTCTTATTTGAGTTCTCAAAGATGGTTTTTGGCTCAGAAAGTGGCTGTTTGTTGTTGTACTTCAAAGGTATAAAGTTCACGCCTTTTAAGCTTATTTTTGCATACTTGTTTGGCCACCTTTACATGCTATTTTTGGCCTACTTTTCAACTACAAAAACCTCTGTTTTCAAGGTTTAAAAATCATGGTTTAAGGCCTTTTTGGAGTTAGGGGTGCTCCACCTTCTTTTGTAGCTTGTTTGCTAAGTGTTGTGCCATCTTTCAAAGCCTTTTGAAGCAACTTTTTTTGGCCTTTCAACCACTAAATTTTAGTGGCAAAAACTTGGTTTTGAGGTCCAAAATAGGAAGGGGTGGCCTCCCCTCCTTGTGTCTTGTTTGCAAGTGTAGATGGCCTAACATGTGAGCATGTATTTCTACCTTTTTGTAGCTTAATTCAAGCATGTTTTAGGTTCTATTTTAATATGTTTCAACTCTGTTTTTGGCTGGTTGGGTCACTTGTTGCTTGCTTCTTGCACTTATAGTGTAATTGTGCTTACTAGCCTAGCATGCCTAGTGAGTTAGCCTCTCATTCTAGCTTGTGTTAGATTGACTCCAGCACATTTTTGCTGCTAATTTACCATGCTTTAACTCTGTTTTGAGTGGTCTTGATCATATGAGCTTTGTATTGTATGGCTATAGTGCAAATGCCTTCACTAGCTTAGTGTTTTAAGGCCCCTAACATGTTTTGCATAAGATGGTTGCATGTTGTAGCATCATTTTGCATGTGATTTCAGTGCATATATCTTTGTCACACTCTCACATATTTCACTCTTTCATTGCTTTTGAGAGTTGTGCTTTGAACCTTGTTTGTGAGCCAACATGTGAGCATGTTTTTCTTGCTTTCTATGCTTCAATTCCAGCATGATTTAGCCATTATTTTGGCATGTCTTAGCTCTGTCCAGAGCTGGTTCGGTCATTTGAGATTGATATTGCATGCCTTTAGTGTAGTGCTCTTCACTAGTCGTGTATTTATGGCTTTTGAACATGACTTGTATGCATTGCTTGCATGATTTGGTGTCTTTAGCATGCCATTTCAGCATTGAAAATTCTACAACCTCCCCCTATTCTTCACCTTTTGATTTGCTTTGAAAGTGCTCTTGAGCCTCTTGTTGGCTTGAGTGTGAATTTGAGGTCCTTATGCCCAATGGTTTTAACCCTCTCTTGAGGGTTCCTCATAACCAACAACATGAGACCCCTTTCATGCTCAAGACACTTGTGGCTTAGACCATCTTTCCAATTAGAGGACTTTTTACATTGAACCTAATCGGTTAAAGGACTAAACAGTAATGTAAAATGTGTAAACAAGAATTGGACAAGTAAAACATGAATAAGATAAGCATTTGTGGTACATTGCATGTGTTTGGATCGAACGTTAATCCAAACACAAGAAACATGGGACATTTCATACTCAAAGTGATGAAACGTGTCACGTTTCTTGGTCGCCAACACCCTTGATCATACGTGATAGGGTGGAGGCTCTTTGAGTCTTGTTTGTGTATTCATTAACATTGTACAAGCTTGGTGTCACGACCCGAACCCGCCCCCGTGGGTTAAGGACGTAACCGGCCAGTAATCATGAGATTACCTACGGCCTCAAACTGTTCTAAACGTATTTTAACAGAGTTAATGGGGGCCAAACGGAAGCAAAATTAAAAACTTTGTCCATAGAGCCGTGGTTATATGCACAAAGTTTTTAATTTTGCTTCCGTTTGGCCCCCATTAACTCTGTTAAAATACGTTTAGAACAGTTTGAGGCCGTAGGTAATCTCATGATTACTGGCCGGTTACGTCCTTAACCCACGGGGGCGGGTTCGGGTCGTGACACTTGGCCCTTTGGCCATCATGCATGAAAATGCTTGATTGGTGGCTTGAGGGCCAAGTGCCACACTCCTTTGAGCTTGAGAAATGATAAGGAGGGTGGCAGTACACACATTTCCTTGCAAATGCATTGCTTTGTCTCTATTGTAGCAAAAACAGAAGTTTAGAAAAATGGGTGGTCGGCGGGCCACTTGCAGCAGTAGCCGACCGACCACTTGCACTAGCCGGCCAGCCAGGTGAGGTAGCCGACCGGCCACTTGCATTAGCCGACCGGCCACCTGTTCAAAGATTGTCCAATGTTTTCATGTGTTGGAGCAGAGGCAATCTGGAAGTTTGTGCGGTGTTCAGAGATCACAACAAGCCAAACTGAGGCAACTGGTGGCAAGGCGATGGATTTTCGGGAGGACACCAACCGAGCATGCATGTCTCCATCGCCCGCGAGGCCATTTAATTGCTTTAATTAGTTAGAGTAGCTAATTATTCAATTCGTTTTGTAATATTTTAATTAGCTTAGAATAGTTAGTTATTCAATTGTGTTGTAATAATTAATTAGCTAGATTAGTTAATTAGTTGGTTTTGTAATAATTAGCTTAGCTTAGCTTATTCATTCAGACCTTCCTTCGAGAGGGCACAATGTTGTAATAAGTATGTGTGCGCGTGTGCATGTCTTCCAACCCCACGTCTTTCTCCCTTTTATTTAACCGCTTTTGATGGTTAGATTAGGGACATTTTCAATTAGCATACCTTATGCTTGCATGCGTGCATCATTCATTTGTATTGCATGCACCAGGCTCGGTGCGTCATTCAAACTGCATCATATTTCAATACTTCTTTGAATATGTATTTCAAAGCATGTTATCAAATTGTATCATATGCCCTATTAGATAGCCGAGCCTATTAATTGCATTATCTCATGTGTTGCATTAGGCATCTCGCATAGTTAGGATCATGTATCTTTCTAACTAGCTTTTGTTTTGGCTCGGAGTACACTGTAAGTTTTACACTTTAGCATACTTGCATGAGTGTGAGTGTTGCCACGACAGCATGCTTGCCATGAGGCTATTTGCTTAAGTGATTAACTACATAAATGCCTGTGGATGGAGGCTTTGTTGCTTGAATTGGAACAAATCATTAAATGTGTGTTTTAAGCCCACTTTGCGAAGTGGCAAATCATGTTTTAAGCCTATCAAGTTTGATGGCAAATCCGTACTTTAGCCTACTTGAGAGTGGCATTTTCAAACCATTTTTGAAAACAAACATGAATTAATTTGTTCCAAATCTTGCGACTTAGTTTATACTTACTTGTGTGTGTGTCACATAGTAAAGTTAGCTAATAACCGGATTAAGAACACATGAGGTTTACAAAACAACATATCATGCTTAGTAAAGGCCGATCCTTTGATCGGGTAAGCGGGGGTGCTCATTTCAGGACCTTTCCCTCTCGTACCCAAGTTCCCGAGCTGAGGCAACTTTGGTGATGACGGACACGTGGCCTTTGGCATGAGTCATGGTTTTCTAAATTTCTCAAAATAAAATATTTATGTGGCGGCTCTATAATCTGGCAAAGCAATCTAGTTTGGCATTATTTGATTTAAAAATTTGATTTTCCAAAATGATTTGCCGGATTGGACTCTTTGATGTTTATCAGTCTCACATTGCACTTTGTGAGATTAGATTCAGAACCGTGACAGGAGTCTGAACTGTAGGACCAATTCGCTTCTCTCCCAAAGGGGGATGCGTAGCAAAGTCGAGTCTACAGTTTCTGGCGACTTTGTTGGGGATTTAGAGAACTTGACTCGAACATCATGATATGTTATTTTGTTTACACTTATGTGTTTCTTTGCATTTCATTTGCATTGGTGCGCCTAAGTCACAGTGTTTGCCATCTACTATTCCTGAATGGTTTGCCGGAGGCTTGCTTGGAAAAGCGTGCCATAAGGCTGACTGGTTGCGGGCTCTGCCACGATAGGAACACAAACCTTGGATCTGGACTACTGCCGTACCGTTTGATCCTCCTTTCACT